GACGATGCCCGTTTCAACATCTGTCACTCCTGTCTATGATTCCCGTTTTAGTATTCGATAAACCGTCTCTCGCGATTCAAGTGAAGAGAATGTTTCGTTCCAAAACTATCTACATCGCTCGATTTTAATTCAATTTGGTATGTGGGGGGAATTATAATGAAAATCCTAGTGTTACTTATGCATGGTTTAGGTAATCTCTCCTTTTCCCTCTTGCGATTTGAGCCGGGAGAATGTTGGATTTGTGTTAAAACTATTTACATTGTCCGATTTTAATTCGGTTTGGTATGGTGAGGAAATTAAAATGGAAATCATAGGGTTACTTATGTATGATTTAGGTGGATTCGTGAATTTCTATGGAGTAGGAGGAAAATATGGATTCAATGGTTTACGTATTATAGGTAGAGAAATCACACTAATAGAGCATATTTATCTGTTAGGGACCACTTTAATTGATCATATTTCTCTTTTAGAAATGTACCGGTGTGCCTCTTGATTCTTGTTGCTTCAGCATTGTTCTTGATGGATGTTCAGAGTGGAATAATTTGAAATTCGGCTTCTAATTCATGGACTTGCAATGAAGCTTGGTAATGTTTCTTATGCAAATAGTGCTGGGATACAAACAAGTCTCACATCAATAAAAATAACAACTTATAAAGCACACACATATTTCGATGTAAAAGAGGCCTTTTGAGTAATGATCAAAAGCAAAAACGTGAGAGCCTAGGCCCAAAGTAGACAATATCTTATCATTGTGGAGTATGTTTGTATAATAATAACCTTAAAAAAATAATCCTCATAAAATATCCTCTCAGACAAATACCATAAAATAATTCCAATAATGCTATCAGAGCCGCAAGGTTGGATGCGGTAACAACCCTCATAACATATACTTGTATCAAATAATGAAGGTGGCTTGCTGGAAGAGGCTGTTATGGTGCAAACAACTATGAACAACTGGATTGAGATAGACAATGAGGTTCACTATTTTATAGCAAGTTACAAAGACCACCCTCAAAGCACAGAAATCTATGTGAATCTGGATCTCTTAAAAGATGAAATATGTTGGAGCTGCGAGAACATAAATAATCTTACTGATATCGAATTCAGATTCCCTGTTACATAATATTGTTAAGTTGGTGTAGTTCATTAACAAGATTTCAACAATATTCCTAGAGGATGGAGGGGGAATTTGGAAGTAGATTGCTTTTTCGTAACAGTTTTCTGATAGTGTCATTCTGTATGTATACCATTTCAAACCAAGAAAAAGGTTGGAAAAAATATTTATAGCATCTTTTGTAATGTTCATTGCACAGTGACTGCCAGAAGTTTGAGTTAGAAACTGGTGCAGCAGTTTTTTTTGTTCTTAATGCTTATTATCATTGGGATGCAAAATGAGCCAAAATCATTTACATTTGTAATCTTTGGACAAAATCCAGAACTTGACTAGAAGGATTTCATGCATTATACTTGATAAAATGAAAGCAAAGCTCTAGCATGCTGTGGAGCAAGTTGATTTGAATATTACTGCAGTTATTTTTGAATCTGGTGTATAACGGATTTAGTTACTATTTCAAATCATAAACCAGCTCCTATCATATTTTTATGCGGAAATATATCCTTGTGAAACCTTGCCATGGAAATTTACTGTCATATTGCATTTATCTTCCAATTTATCATCTTGGTTTCAATCACTGCTAATTTTTCTTCTACAAGTATACTTCAAAGCTAGAAATCCTTTCACTAAGGAAAAGTAGGAAAATCAAGGTGAATTAAGTTTAGTCCGGCAAGAGAAAAATGTCGGGTATGATGGATCCTTCGATGAAGAAGACGAGTTAGAAGAGAATTAAAGGGAATGAGCTCTTAAAAGCTTTTGTTAACCGCACTTGCACTGTTTTTGTGGTTGGGTTTCTAAGTCTTAGGTTTGTGCCACAACCCTTAACAAGAAGTGTTGTAAAATTTTGTTCATTTGTACTAGTGTAGAGCAATTTTATGTTCTTTGTTTTAGAATACATCATGGACGTGCTGATGATCAAAATTTGTTCATTTGGTTCCTATCCTTCTAGGCTTTTTAACCTCCCTCTACTTGCTAGTCTCACACTCTCTTGGTCGTCATTAGTTTTGCTTTTACGTCTTAGAATAATGGATTTAAGCCTAATTCAACTCTACAAAACTGGCTTGGAAGATGAATGTTGCTTTTCACTTATATACTATTTAATTACCTAATCTCTAGTCGATGTAGGACTTAGGTTTTTCCCAATATATCCCCTCACGTCCAACACTATTGGACTTGATACGTGGATAAATGACGGGTGACCCTTTTTTAATGATCTAGGATTGGCGGGGTTTGAGTTTTTCTCAATACACCCCCTCATGTTCATTTGTACTAGAGTAGAACAATTTTATGTTCTTTGTTTTAGAATACATTATGGACGTGCTGATGATCAAAATTTGTTCATTTGGTTTCTATGCCTCTAGGCTTTTTAACCTCCCTATACTAGTTAGTCTCACACTCTCTTGGTCGTCATTGGTTTTGCTTTTACGTTTTAGAATAGTGGATTTAAGCCTAACTCAACCTTACAAAACTGACTTGGAAGATGAGTGTTGCTTTCTACTTATATACTATTTAATTGTCTAATCTTTAGTCAATGTAAGACTTAGGTTTTTTCCAATATATCCCCTCACGTTCAACACTATTGAGCTTGATACGTGGATAAATGGCGGGTGGCCCTTTTTTAATGATCTAGGATTGACGGGATTTGAGTTTTTCTCAATACACCCCTCACGCCCATGATGCATGTATCAATGGTGGGTGACCCATTTAAAGTGGATGTAAATGGCTTTGATACCATCTTAGAATAGTGAATTTAAGCCTAACTCAACCCTACAAAACTAGTTTGAAAGATGAGGGTTGCTTTCCACATATATGTTATTTAATTACCTAATCTCTAGTCGATGTGGAACTTAGGTTTTTCCCAATACACCCTCTCACGTCCAGCACTATTGAGCTTGGTACATGAATAAATGGCGGATGACCTTTTTTTTATGATCTAGAATTGACGGGACTTGAGTTTTTCTCAATATTACGTGCAGTTCCATTTTGTTTTGGTAGGAACATGTAGAGAAAAAGGAAAAGAGAGAGGGAGAGAATATGCGGTTATTACGTTGTTATGAACATGAGAGAAGTGATTCAAAGTAAGGAAGATGCGAGTGAAAAAAATGATTTTTGAAATTTTTATTATCCATTCATATCGAGAATAATAATACAAAAAAGTAAACAAATAGAAAATAATTATAATCGTATTAAAAATTGTGAAAACGAAATTTACATATTTTTATCTATTTTTACAAATTATAGGTTTTAATATATAAATTATATTTAATGTTTAAAATTTTGAATAAATATATATTTTAAATAAATAAATTATATTTTAGATTTTTGATAAATAATTCACATTGTAATATAATATATATTTTATTATTATTAATTTATTTTAAAAATATTAAAATTTAATTTATAAATAATTATAATAAATAAAAATCAAATTAAATATAAAGTTAAAAGAATTTATCCAAATTGTCTCGTCAAAAAAAAATATTTAACAATACTCTTACATAAAAGAATCATATTCCACTTATACATGGGAGTAATGTATAAATTGAGTATGGAATTAGTAAAGGTGTAAGTTGAATTGAGAAAGTTTTTAGAATTTTTTAAAAAATTCTTATCTAATTCAATTTTTAAAAAAATTTCATAGCTATCTATAAATTATTATTTTAGATTATTCAATGCATATGCAAAATATTTATTATATATAACTAAAATTTAGAATAAATTATATATATAAATAAATATTATATTTAAATATATAAATTATATTTTAATTAGATTTATGATAAATAATTTATATCGTAATATAATATTATTTTATTTACTAATAATTTATTTTAAGGATATTAAAATGTAATTCATAAATAATTTATGATAAATAAACATAAAATTAGATATAAAAAAATCAATCTTTATATATTAAACATGAATTTCTATCATATAAAAATATTTTTAAAAACTTTTGTTCGATAAGAGTTTGTTACATGAATTACTTCCAAGTTTCAACCTTACGATGACCAAATACATTATCTAAATGAAATCCAGACATGAATATCTAATGGTACCTTTATATATAGAGTTTAGGAAGTAGAAGAGTTTTACTTGGGATGGGTGGAAAATGTAAAAGAACACCTTATTTGAGGAAGCCAAAATAATTTAAGAAAAATGCATAGAAAGATTCTTTTAAAAAAAAAAAAAAAAAGGTACTCCACTCTTGCCCATATATGACCACAAGAATGAGATTCAAATTCTGATATTATTCTCACAATCCAGTTTCATTATGCAAATACTGAAACTCCGAAACAAACATACTTTTTGCAGTAAAACTTTCTTTTGACGAATTATAAGTATGACCAAAAGGAAATCCTGAAATGAGAAGGGTTTTCTCTATTAAAATTGTATCTGAGACTTGAGAGTGGCTTCACAAGCAAAAGAACCTGAGAAATGCAAATTAGCTGCTAGGAAAAAAAATATGCAAAATGATGTGTTTCAAATCTTTAATATGCCCAAATAGCTGCTAGGATTACGGGGACTCATTAAACTCCAAAGAATTACATTTTCTTTGACCAAGGAAGAGGAACACACAAGTTAGTGTGTTTGTATAATCGGTGGCGTGCATTTCAAAGCAATAAAATGGAAAAAGATGAGTCTTGATGCTTTAAAATGAACCCACATTTAACTGTACCAAACGAAAAAACAAACACACCCTTACACCTCTGATCTCCTTTGCATGCTCTGATCTCCAACCGCACCATCAACAAATGACAAATACAAAAATTATTTTTTCTTATTTTAAAAATATTAAACAAAGAGTTAAAGCTAAATAATATAAAAAATAAAATTTATTTAAAAAGGATTTGTTAAATGACATACCAAAACAAAACAAAACAAAACGTGAACGTGATAGTGAAGAGGTTGGGACTAGTGTCACTTTAATGTGTCTGAATTTTGAAAGCATTCATTCACTCACATCACATGTAACAAATGTTCGACTGATCAATGTCGTCTTCTTCTCACTGATCGCTTTGTGAAGGAGAAGATGGGTTCGGTTTCTCTGAAAATAAGCGACGGAAGTGCGAGATTCAAGAGAGCATCACTCTGTTCCTCCGCACTCATCAACACTCTCATGATCTTCTCTGTCATCATCACCAACCTCTTCGCCCTCTACGCCTTCACTTCTTCCCCTCACACTCACACTCACACCCACCTCCCACTTCACAAAAACTTCTCCCTCATCTCAGAACAAGTCACCCTCATTCTCCGAGAGATCAATTCCTCTCAGAACAAACTTGCCCAGATACAAAAACACCTTCTCGGCTACCAAAGCCTCGACCTTTCCCGACCCAACATTCCAAGCGAACTCAAACTCTTCCTCCACCATCACCACCTCCCTCTCGGCAAAGACTCCAAAACTGGAATCACCCAGATGGTCTCATCCATTGGCCACACCTGCCACAAATCCTCTCACTTGTTGTCTCACTACATGACTTACAACGTTTCCAAACCCTGCCCCGATGATTGGAGCATCGCACAGAAACTCATTTTGCGAGGGTGTGAGCCTCTCCCTAGAAGAAGGTGTTTCGCCAAAACCATTTCCAAGGCTAATCTTCTCCACCCTTTTCCCACCTCGCTTTGGAAGCCTGTTGCCAACAAAACCGTTAACTGGAGTGGTTTAAGTTGCAAGAGTTTTGAGTGTTTGAGTGGTAAAAAGTTGAGTAGGGATTGCATTGGTTGCTTTGACTTGGTGAATGGGTACGAGAATGAGAGGTTTGTGAGGTCAAGGAGTAAGAGTGATTTTGTGGTTGATCAAGTGTTGGCATTGGGAAGTGGTGGGGTTAGGATAGGGCTTGATGTTGGAGGCGGTTCTGGATCCTTCGCTGCTGTGATGGCCGAGAGGAATGTTACTGTGGTTACTATCACTTTGAATGTTGATGCTCCTTTCAGCGAGTTCATTGCTGCAAGAGGGCTTTTTCCTCTCTTTTTAAGCTTGGATCATAGGTTGCCGTTCTTTGACAATGTGTTTGATTTGGTGCGTTGTGGGAGTGGCTTGGATGGTGGAGGGAGTCCAGAGAAGTTGGAGTTTTTGATGTTTGATGTTGATCGCGTTTTGCGGGCTGGTGGGTTGTTTTGGATGGATAACTTGTGTTATGTTGATGAAGAGAAGAAGAGGGTGTTGACTAGGTTGATTGAAAGGTTTGGCTACAAAAAGTTGAAGTGGGTTGTGGGAGATAAGAGTGTTGGATCAGCCAAGTCTCATGTTGTTTTATCAGCTGTGCTTCAGAAGCCTGTAAGGGTGTAAGAACTTTTTTTTAATACCAAGTTAAAAGAGTTTTTGAGAGTTTTTTTAAATAAAAATCTTTTCCAAAGAATCTCTAAAGCTTTATACAACAAGATGGCATGATGTTTGAATAATGCTCTTGCTTATGCAAACTCTATTTCATGCACAATTTGTGTCAATGAATAAGTGCATATGTATGTCGAATTGTGATAACGTGTTAAAGAATGAAAAATGAATTACATTTTTGGGAGTGATGAAGTTAACACAAGTCATTAGGTTTTGATTTTGTGATATGAAGTTTCCTTTCTTAACTGCCATGGACTCATTCATTAGATGTATAAGTTGTACAGCTAATGTGCGTCTCCTATTTTAATTTCTCACGTAATTGGAAAATACTTTCCAATTCTATTAGGAGTTTGATATTCCATGAAATTGCTCTTCTTCATTGCCCTGAATTCAATCATCATATCGTTTACACTGACTTGAGGAAGCTTCTTCGAAGTATCACTGAAGGTGGAAATTGCCTTTGCTCTTAAAAGAGAAAATGGTTTAATGATATCTCAGGTACAACCAGCAAATTCTGTAGGTGATGAAATTTTGATGTACTTGGCACAACCAGCAAATTCCCTGCAAGAATAATTTGGAGACAAGTGTGTCTCAGTAACTCACGCGATAACATTCTTGTTAATTTTATTAAATATATTCTAACAGGATCATTTAAGCAACACACGATTATCTAATGAACCTAAGCATGTGGAGTATGTCCCATTGTAATAGAAGTGAGAAACTTACATCCCAATAAGGATCATCTCCAACAAGAATAACCATTGTCATGATCGACATATAGTAGTTCCCATCCTGAACCTCTAGGGCCACCCAACAAACCCTCTACTCTATATACTCAATAGCATGGATCAATTCCTCTTAGTTCTTGAAGATAGTGACATCAATTGATCTTTTTACACAACCAGTCTTTTCACCTAAAAGATAATAAAAATCATATTATACTACTTTCAGTAACATAAAACATATTATCAAAGCTAAGAAAGGAAATAATTAATATGAATACTTTTAATTAATTCTACCATAATTAAATTTAAATTTTATTCAAATATATCATTTATTTTAAGTAATTGTTATATTTGAAACTTCAAGTGAATATAAATGGAATAAAGTTAACAATAAATAAAAAGTATCAAAGAAATTTAAACCAAGTAATTTTAAAAACTAGTAACTATAATTAAGAGTAAAGAAAAATTCAATTTACTGTTGATAATTAGGTTCAGAGATATTAATTGCGAAGAAAAAAAAAGATTACTTCAACTTTGAAACTAATGATTTTTCAAACTAGTATTATATATAAAAAAAGGTAAACATATGGTAACGTAACATTTATGTTTGAGATATTAATAGTATTTTATTTAGAACTGGATTATGAATTAATCACCTATATATTGGGAGTGTAAAGTTTTTTTACACTGGTAACCAATTAAATTTTTTAATTGTGTCATGTCACTATAAACACATTTACTTTTAACAGTAACACGGCACAATTAAAAGATCTAATTGGTTATCACTGCAAAAAAATTTATACTGATAGTGTATATGTGATTAACCCCTGAATTATTGGTATGAAATATTTATAAGTTTTGTTAATGACTAATCTATGTCGTCGAGAAACTTAGTTTGTTACCTTTAATAGGTCATTTCTCTTAAATCTACAAAAGTTGAATTCAAAATCTTATTTAAGAATACTGAATTCTATATTATTTAGACCAATAACTTGATGGTTAATATATTAATAGTACGAATGCAAATTTGAAAAATGTTATTGCAACAAACCTTGATACTCCAGGTACAACGCTTAGGAGCACACTGCAATTACTCGAGGCAATGAATTATTATGCAGAAAACCATTTTCAACGCCTAGGTCTCCCTTCATATTTACTAGCTCTTGCAATTATTGTTGCTTAAGAAGATCATAAGTTTGGGCCCGAGAGAAGAAAAAAAATGTTGGAGCTACCACTCTCCCTCTGAAGAGAAAAAAAAAATAAAAATCAATGAATAGTACCTAAAAAATGATAGAGTAGCAGAAAAAAAAAGTGAAAAAAGAGAAAGTGAATGAATTAGATAATTATTTGAAATTAAATTTATTTCAAAAATAAATTAAAAATATATTTAAGAATTTTTTTAATCTATTAATAAAAATGGAGGTGTATATATCATTTACCTTTAAATTTTACAACCCCATCCAAACTTATTGGGCTAGCCCATAAGACTCAATTTTGATCCAACTGCCTATTTTAAGGACTCTCACAGGATCAGGGTCCAAGAAATACCAGAAAACAACCTACTATTTCTACTACTAAAAATAATTAGAGATATGTAATATGTTAATTAATTACGTTCCTAATTAAAATTTATATGCTAACGCGCATGTAGCTAGCTATCTAATTAAGCATCATCTTAACATGCCCGATGTCCTTATTTATACATACATCATTCTCTCTCAAAAGAAAAATAAAATGAAAAACTGTGACTGGTAGAATTCATATGATTCAAAATGAAGAATCTAATCTTTTTATTTGTTTTATCTGTATATATAAATTATATATCTGTTTTCTTCAATTCATGTGCATGCAAGGATAAATGTGACGACGACATGGCTGATTTCTGACACAAGATTTTACGCATCTCATATTATCCTTATTCCTTAAGTTCTGTTTTTGTTAAATAGAGAGATGCAGTTTAATTTATATACATGGGGAACGTGGTAATTACGGTGATTAATAAAATCCAAATTTTTTGCTCCATGTATTAATAGATGATAGCGACAATTGACAAATTTGAAAAGAGAAGCAGAGATATGGCGATCTCTAAAGGCCCTTTGCATGCATCGAAAGGTTGGAAACATGCCAAACTATAAATGATTATACAAAATAAAAAAGCTTAGCATGTGCATCTCTATAGGGAATACTAGTATTTATAATGTATTTTATCTATATTAGTATACGTACGTAGCTTGTAGGCTTTTGTTGCAAAAGTTTAGTTTAGTTATTATGACATCACACCTACTTCGCAAGGTATAACTGAACAAATGCATTCAATTATCACCAAACAACTACCTTATATATAATAATACATACCTTAATATTTTTATTAACATGTAACATTATTGTTTCTTTCATTACTCATACTCATTCTTATGTTGAACATGAAACCAAAAAAACTATTGAACAAAACATGCTTCGGTACCCTACTGAGGTCTGCATATTTTAGCTCTTACATCGATCTAGTAGTCTTCTCAATTTCCAGATGTTTATGTTTTCTCCTTTTCAGTCTCTACACCAAATATTTAACCGTTTCTTAATAAAAAAAAGAAGTAAAATAAAAATTAACCTTCTAATTAAAAAAATAAAAATAGTTATTTTAAAGTTATTCTTCAAATAATTTAATTCATTCTTATATTAATTAATAAAAATAAATAAATTATTAGTTTGGACAAAACTGAATTCCAATGTCTTAAACAGAGTTTCAAAGTTTTAATGATAAAATGTGATTGTAAAAAGAGATTTTACGGACAAATTACTAAATACTTTGAATTAATAAAATAATTATAAAAGACTTAATTACTTATATACTGTCAGTGTAAAGTTTTTTTACACTGACAACTAATTATATATTTTAATAGTGTCATGTCAGTAACTTATTTAATAAAATAATAATAAAATAAATGATTTTAAAATATATAATTAGTTATCGGCGTAAAAAACTTTATACTAATAGTGTATGAAGGATTAACTCGTTATAAAATACTCAAATGCAGTGTTTCTGTATCTGCATGCTAGTATTGCTCCCGCTATTGTTGCTGACGTTATGGGAAATGGAGTAGAGATTTTTGGACCTATAATCGCTTCTGTCTTGGGCGTCTTGGGCTTTGTTTATTGGTCTTTTTTTTTCTTCCAATGATTGTAAAAAAAAAAGTGATTAAAAATAAAAATATTTAACATTTTTAACTTATCATTTATTAAATACTTTTTTTGTATATTATAATGAAATAAATTTATTTAGTTAAAATAATTTATATTTTATTTTCTTAATCACTGTCTTAAAGTCATTTTTGTCACTCTCTCTCTTTTTTTTGTTTTACTAATAGAGTGAAAGATCAGTAATTAGTTACCGATCGATTTTTATTATTATTATTATGAATATGCAACTCATTTAATGGATGAATATATAATACTACTACCTTATGAGTTGTGATATTTCTAACTCATTTAATGAATGAATATTTAATACTCCATTATGGTATTTCAATGGACAGGACATACGATATTCAATTCATCAATTTGAAAACATGCTTAACACACGAAATAAGCATTGTTGTAACACACAATTTTTTAATTTAAAAAGTGACATTTTAATTTTTTAATAAAACATTAAAAAAATTATTCCATTAATATCCTAAATAAATATCAAAATAATTTTTAAAAAATATTTTTTCAATAATCATTAAAGAAAACTTAATTAAATTATTTTCCTCATTAAGATATTTATTAATTTTTTTAATGTTTATGAAAAAACTTTAAATGTCACGTTTTGAGATAGATGGAATATTAGGCGAATGATGGTTTAATAGATCCATGTTGAGTCCTAAATATACACATGAGATAATAATATATTAATTACAGGTTGATGGTTGACTTAATTGATAAAATTAAATTATCGATGTTGCTATAAACGTTTTGCCTTTTATTATTTCTAGCTGTCTTTCTCTGATAAATCTTAAGTAATACGTAGTAATTGATCAAATTAAACATTTTTGGAGAAGTAAACTTTTTTTTTTTTTTTTACAAAGGTGTAAACGGGTACAAGTCAATCAACCTTAATTATCTGATTACAGTTCAATGATTTAAGATGAGTCATCGGTTCAGATTGGATTTATTTTCATTAACATAATTGTAATTAAGTTGAGTATGTGATTGGTGAGTTTCGAAACTGATTAACCCAACACAACCTACATTTAATTCTTATTACTACATTTTATCTATAATATATTG